AGGAAGAAATTTTACAGCCAGGCACCAGCACTTTGTGAGTTCAAGGCTGCAAGCAAATTCCAGGACAGCCAATGCTACACAGAAAGACCCTGTCTTGGAAAAAAACAAACAAACAAACAAAAAAAACAAAATTGAAAACAAAACAAACAAACCATGTTTCTGCCTCCGCCCCCACACCCAGGTTGTGGGATCTAAGGCACGTGCCACCACACCCGCTCACTTTCTAAGTGTTAGATTCACTCTGTCCAACCTGTCTGAACAAGAGCCTCTGTCTACACTGTACCCTTATAGTCTCAGTGCCTCCGGAGGGGGGCGCTCTATCACATGGTAGGCACCACGTAGGCATTTACTGTGTCAGTAGATGATTTAGCGATGACTATTATGTCACATATGATTATAGGACACCAAGGAGAGACTTTCATTTTCTATATTAGCTCTCAGCCCTTTCCACTGGGCTGCCCTCACAGCTCACCAGTATCCTTCTCCCAACTGCACAGCTTCATACCCCAACTTCTCTCTTTCGATATGGTTAAACTAGAGGCGTCTGACCCAGACTCGGAGATGCTTAAAGCAGAGGCGTCCCGATCAGATGTGGTTTTGTAGGACAAAAGCTGCCTTCCGCATGAATGGGAGGAAAGGATCAGGTCAGGGGGAGAAGAGACAGGAACTCTCAGATAAGATAAAGGCCCGGACGAGACAAGGGTGAGGCGAAGAGTCTGATTAAGGCTATAGGTGTTCAGAAGGCTGAGGCCGAATGATGGCATAGGTTAAAGGTAAGCAGCAAAGAGAAAAAAGAGCTACTTCCTAGATACACTTTGGGCGCTGGCAGGGTGGCTCAGTGGATAAAGGCGCTTGTTGCTAAACCTTGATTGAGTTTGATCCCTAGGACCCATGTGGTCAAAGGAGAGAATCAACTCGGGGAAATTGCCTTCTGATCTTCACACACATACCATGGCATGCATGCACATACACGCATATGCACACAAAATAAGTATATACATGTAATAAAAATATTTTAGAACCCGGGCAGTGGTGGTACATGCCTTTAATCCCAGCACTTGGGAGGCAGAGGCAGGCGGATTTCTGAGTTCGAGGCCAGCCTGGTCTACAGAGTGAGTTCCAGGACAGCCAGGACTAGACAGAGAAACCCTGTCTCGAAAAAAAAACAAAAAAAAAATCATTTCTCTCAGACAACTAAGATCAAAATCAGTGGGCTCAGGTCAACTATGATCTCCTCCCTGGGGACTAATTGTATTCCTTTGTTTTTTTTTTGAGACAGGATCTCATGTGGCCCAAGTGGCCTCTAACTAAACATGCAGCCAGGGGTAATCTTGAGCTTCCCATCCTCCTGCCTGCCAGTGCTGAGGTTACAGGATTGACCACCTTACCTACTACATTCAGGTCTGGAGATCAGAGCCAAGCACAAGGATTCGCACACGTTAGGCAAGGATTCCATCAACTGAGTTCTGTTGTCTCACTCACACTCATTCGTGCACACGCTTCAGCTCTCTCTCCAGTCTCTATTCTGGTCCCATTTTATGAGGACTAGATCGTGGCCACAAGGTGCTTTATGTGATCTCTTACAACGTTCCCAGAAACCCTGGAAGGTGGCTGGAATGAGTATAGTGACATTCCTTAACCCATCTGTATTCGACAAATCAAGGGACAGCTACCCACACGAAGTTGAGGTTTGTAGCTCTGACTTTTCAGACCTCAAGATTCTTCCTTAGAGTTTATTTTATTTCTCCCTCTCTCTCCCCATGAGCACATACAGGCACAAGCATTGAAGACTGATAGAACAGCCTTATGATTTCTACTCCGAATTCCAAGAGACAAATCAATCAGCACATGTTTATTAAGCCCTTTACAGGGTGCAGGACACTCACACAGAGGTACACACACTCAGAGAGAGAGAGAGAGAGAGAGACAGAGACAGAGACAGAGACAGAGAGACAGAGACAGAGAGACAGAGAGACAAAGACAGAGAGACAGAGACAGAGAGAGACAAAGAGAGAGAGGTGGTTCCTGCCCTAAAGGATTACTGTTTAGTCTAAGACATAAAATGAACACACAGGACAAATAATACAGACCAGAAAATGGATCCATAAACGCCAAGTGTGTCTGTGTCTTTAGATGTAGGAGAGTCTGGGAGTGCCAACTAGAAATGGACCAAAAGGTATGAATACCATCTTTCTGATTTCACACCAGTTGTGGCTCCTGGCCCTGGTCTTGGCCCTGCATGAGATGGACCTGAGTCTACTTATGCTTCAGGAAACTCTCCTGGGAAAATCTTATTTTGCTCAAGACCTCAATCTGCAAAATGTTCCTATTTAAAAATTAAGACCTATGCCAGGCATGGTAGCACATGATCTCCACACTCAAGAAGCAGAGGCACGAAGATAGCTGTGAGTTCTAGGCCAGTTTGGTTTCC